GGCGAGCCGGTCAACCGCCGATTGGCCAGGGGGCCAGGCCCCACGCGCCCTGCGCCTCCAGGAGGCCCCTGCTACGCCTGCAGCCTCCGCCTGCCGCCCCGCCCTGCCGACGTGGCCGTCGTGGCTCGTCGTCGGGGATCTCGGCGTGCTCGGCGTGCTCTCGGAACGCCCCAAAGTTTGCGCACCTTCATTGTCTGCCGGAAATGAGGGGGTCACCGTCACCGCCTGCGCCGCCTGCCGCAAACGGCGTGGCGCCGCGCTGCGCTCCTACAAGCGGCCCTCCATCGGCCAGGGCGTGTCGCGGCGTCGCGGCCGTCCTCCGTCGACGCGCTCGTCTCGCATCGCCTTCCGGATTATTAATTAATTAGCGGTCCGCGAGGGCGTCGGCGTCGTTCGGAAAGTTGCGTAATTAGCTCGGACAATGGGGGCGTGGCGGTGGCCTCGGACTGGCACTGCCCCGATTGGGTGGCGGCGGCGCGGCACCGTAGGCAGGCGCGGCGCTGCACGAAATATCCCTGGCACACAAACGGGCAAACCACCCCTTCCTTTTATCTGGCGCAAAGTTCCCAACAACTCTCATTCCTAAAGGAGGAGAAAGAAAAGGCGGCAGGGCGACACGGCACCTACAATTCCTCCGGGCTGCTCAACACGCCCCGCCCCGCCACACCCGCGTGGCCGCGAGTCACGCGCCGAAACACCCAGCCAGCCAGCCCAGCCAGCGCGGCGGCATTATCCACGTGATCTATGCGCGCAGTTGGTGGCTGCGAAGCCGCGATCGTCCTTTGTTTTGGCGGGAACAAGTTTTGGCGCGTTATCCGGCGCGCGACTTGTTGTCTTTCTTCCGGCCGCCGTCTGCCCTGCCGCCCTGCCGACTGATTCCCGGAGTCGTTCTGTCTCTCTCGCACTCTCGGCGCGTCCCGTGTTGGTGCGAGAGAGACAGAACGACGAAAACGACTCTCGGAACCAGTCTGCTGCTGCCGCGGGACCGTCCTGCGAGGATTACAATACGATTCAAGTGTTTTTCGCGCGGCCCGCGGCTTGGCTTGGCTTGGCCCGGCCGCGCAAGTTCCGCTTCGCACTGCCTCGCCTCGCACCGCGGCGACGAAGTGGCGGCGGTGCCGCGGACCGCCAACGCCAAGGGTTGCGCCGTTGTCTTCATCTGAATGCGTCCATTCCTCGCGCGCGGCTTTTGTCGGCTCCCTGCTCGGCCCCCGCTCCCACGCGTGATAATGTGGCGGGGCGGGGCGGGGCGGGGCGGGGTGGGGCGACGCGGAGCAGCAGGTTGATGAATCAGCAAAGCCCCCGGCGCCTCGAGTTGGGAGGCCTTATCATGCCACTGCATCCACCCATTTTTCCGGCACAAAACTTTTGCCGCTCGGCGGGGCGGGGCGGGGCGGGGCGCGGGGCCTTTGGGGAGTACGGCGTAGCAAGGCGTGGCGGAGGTGGTGGCGACGCGAGGACGTGGCGGCAGCGGCAGCGGGGAGCGATGCGAGTGACGCCACCACGGGCTGCTGCCGGGGCTTTGCTTTACCGCCCGGAATATGAAATGCAGAAACAAAACCCAAGCACAGCGGCGCACTGGTACACTGGTGTGCCGAGGCCGCATTACGCGGCAGGAGCCGAAAGCAGCAACGGTGTCTGTCCACTGTAACTTCACTACAAATTACATGCGTATATCTGCGAAGGCTTTCTGGCGGTGTTCGCGGATTCGGGTGAAATTCGGAATACAGTGGGTTCCGCTACTTGCCGCCAAAACGCTTCACGCTGCGACCCGAGCCGAGGCCGGCCGGCTGGACGCTGGGCCTGCCTGGACGCCCCACATACGGCCGTAACGACGGCTGGAAAGCGGCGGCGGGGCGGACCCGTAGGCAAAACCACGGGGCAAAACAACAGCGGGCAGCGTGGCGCCGCGGCCAGTGACACCAGCAGTCTCATTCAGAGAGTCGTTTTGAGCTCCAGAGTCGCTAAACAGGGCTCGAACCGAACGTGTGACCCCACCAATGGATTGCTCTTAGAACAAGGAATCCATTGGTGGGGTCACACGTTCGGTTCGAGTCCCATTTAGCGACTTTAGAGCTCAAAACGCGTCTAGAGTTTAAGCCGCCTCCACCGGTATTCTGGCCCACTGTGCGCACCGCCGCGCCGGACAGCATTGAGGCGTGTGGCGCGCGGTGTCCGCGGCGTCACGCGCGCGCAGAGTCCTGCCGCGTCCTGCAGAGGCCCACGCAGGACACGTTTTGAAACGGCCGCCTCCTGGCCGCGGTCTCGGCGGCGTGGTCGCGCGGAATTGCTGCCGTTTTGGGACGCGAACGCCGCGAACGCTTCGCAATGCATTGCGAGGTGCGCGCAGCGCGACTGCACCGCCGCATCGCCGTCGCTCTGTCTCTCTCGCACCGCACGGCACGCACCGCGAGAGCGACAGAGACAGAGAGGACAACGAAGAGACACGTTTCTCTGCTGCGTGCGTGGAACCGCGTGGCACTGTCGCCATTTTCCAGGCCGGGTATTGTTCAGTGTAGGCAAAAATTTAGTGAAATAAAAATTATATGAGAAATTCGCGTAGAGTCCGAGAGTCGCTCGGCGAGGCGACGCGGCCAAGGGGCTGGTCGTGGTGCATCGCCCTCTGGACTCCAAACTCCGGCGACGCGGTCCGCGCTGGCGCACTGCGCCTCCAACAATCGGAACGCCTCTACACTGCGACCAAGAGTCGATTTCGTCGCTCTGTCTCTCTCGGCCCGGAACGGGACAGCCCATGAGTGCGAGAGAGACGGGGCGACGAAAACGCCTCGGAATGTGGCCAGGGCCGGCCAGGGCCGGCCAGGGCCCCTCGGGGCCGCGCGGACGCCGCCGACGGCACGGAGCACGCGCCTCGTTTTGCACGCCTTGCTGCGCGCGGTAAAGGAGGGCGTGCGCGGGGACGCCGGGGACACGGGCGTGCTGCGTGCGTGCGGGGCCACGGCGGGGCCCTATTGTTGTGAATAAAGCTGTCGGATGCATGTCCACTCGCTGGAACGCTGGAGCGGTGGCCGGCGCCGAGGCGTGGGCGTTGAGCGCGTTGCCTGTTGCACGGAACCTGCTGCAACAATCGCCTCGCCTCGCCCCGCCCCCTTTTGCCGTGCCGAGTCAATCCGGAGATCCGGAGGCCGAAAAATGTTTTGACAAAGCCCTGCTGCACTGCGTGTTGCGTGGAGTGCAGTAACCGTCTCGTGGTGGCATCCTGAGGGCCAGCCTGAGGGCCAGCCTGAGGGCGAGGGGGATGGGGTGCGCCGGGCTGGGCAGGGAAGGTCTCGCCGGCCCGCGGGGCACAGTCCGCTGGACTGCAGGGGGTTTGATTCGAAACGTAACGCAAGAACTGGGGCCGGGACGGCCGGGACCCCCTGGGAGTTGTGTGCGAGAGGGAGACGTCGACGCCAAGGCGCGCCGAGGAGGGACAGAGAGGGAAGGAATTTGATGAAGACTGGGAGTAGCGTAGTTGAGGCTGGGCCTGCCCGGCCTGCCACGCTGCAGGCTCATTCCGAACAGTGCTTGTGTCGCTCTGTCTCTCTCGCAGTCGCGGGCCGTTTCGCATCGGTGCGAGAGAGACAGGGCGACGAAACGCGGCGCGGAATCAGTCGGCTGGGCCGTTGGGCCGCTGGGCCCCGTGGAGTCTTGCTGGCCGTGGTGCGCTTCGTGCCACGCCGTGCCACGCCGTGCCACGCCGTGCGGCAAGCGGCAAGCGGCACGCCGTGCAGGCTGTGCCAGGCTGTGCAGGCGGGGACGGTGGTCTCTAGGGAGATCCCGCCTTCCCGTGGGTCCGGCCGACCAATGAGGGGCCCGCTTCGGAGAGGGAGCCCCCACCCGTCCCCCCACCACGCACCCCCCGCTCCGCCTCCCGCGGCGCCGCCCGCTCCAGGACGCGCTCTCTCTCGCACTCACACACTGACTCACACACACACAAATGAACATCACGCCAGGGTCCTATGCTCCTGAATCCCTAGGGGTCATCCTTTCCTCTCTCTTTCTCTCGCTGGCGCGGAGCTCTCTCGCTCTCACTCGCGCGCACACACACACCCTGATACCCGTCCTACGTAGTCCTACGTGCCTGCCTCCCTTGCTTCCCGTGGCCTCCCTTGGGTGTTGGCCAGGGGCGTAGCGGCGTGGCGGGGCGCGGAGGGGGCGTCCCGAGGGTACCCCCCAAGGGGCCCAAGGGGCGCAGTCCAGGCCGTACAGCCCGGCTCAGCTGGTGAAAGAGGGGCGGGCAGACAGGCAGACAGACAGGCCAACAGACGGACAGGCACAGAGTCCTCCCGAGTGAGAGAGACGTCAAGCAGACGACAGTCCTCGCTGTACCTCCCGGCCGCCCGCGGAGTGGAGCAGCAGCACGGCAGCGCGGCAGCGCGAGGACTCGAGGAGTGCGAGAGAGAGCGCGCAGGGCGACGGAGTAGACGGAGTGGGAGAGGGGAGGGTCTCGGCGGCCGCTGCCCCACCCCGCGCCCCGCCCCGCGCCCTCCGCCCGCCGCACCCTCCCGCGCCCCGCCCCGCCCCACCGCCCCGCTCCCTGCGCTGTGGTGCTCCGGTCGGTCCGCGCCTCGCCTCCGCGCGCCTCCGCGGCGGGGCGGCAGCGGCAGTGCCTTGTTGGCGCGGCGAGGGGCGGCTGTGCGCCAGTGGTGTGTGTGCCGTGTTGTCCTGCAGCCTGGGCTGGGACGCGTGCGGTGCGACAGCGTGACAGTGGTGTGACAGTGTGAACAGTGACAGTGCCCCATGTGCCGGCCTTGCCTCGGGCCTTGCCGTTGAGTGCCTCGCCGGCGCCCCCTTTGATGCGACTGTCTGTGCCGATGAGTGGCCGAAGTCTTGGCCCCAGCCCGTTGCCGGGCTCCCTGGCGGGCTCCCTGGCGGGGTCCCTGCCCTACTTGGTGCCCGGCTTTCCCGGCTTCCCCGGCTTCCCGCCCGGCCTCAGCGGTCTCGGCGGCCTCGGCGGCCTCGGCCCCGCCGTCGACCGGGACCGGGACGCCGCGTCCAGGATGCTGTTCAAGGGCAACAGCAGCCGGCTGGAGCTGCTCATCGAGAAGATCCAGGCCAACAAGGAGAACCACCACGTCAGCGAGCAGGACATCAAAGGTATGCGGGTGGTGGTGGTTGTTGTGGGGTGCGTGGGGCGGAGGTTCGACTCCGCGCGCCGCCCCGCCGTTTTTCCGCCGGAGTGGCCCCCAGGGTGCCGTTGGGGCTAAAAGTAGCGGGACGAGATGGGCGTTGCTTGGCATTGCTTGCCGCGGCTGGGCGGCGAAATGGGTGTCAAGGCGGCGGTGAAGTGCCAAACCTGGAGCCATCGAGCCATCGCCGACCTCCGATTGGCCTTCGGTCAAACCTCGCATTCATTTGTAAAGCAATTTTCATTCAACGAACCACAAACGGTCCATTGGCACGCCCGTTGAAGGCACTGCTGTCAACTTCGTCGTGGTTCTCTAAATTGGGCGCCCCACAGAAAGCGGGAATTTATCTGTTTTTCAATTGTTAATCTGTGTGAGCGTGAGCAGGCCGGAACCTCATTCCGGGTGCTGCCGGCTGCGCGGCGTGGCGAGCGTTAGCGTTATCGGAGTGATGGGTGTCAAACAATCAGCCTGTCTGCCGGGCAGGGCAAGGCAGGGCACGGCACGGCAGGGCGTGAGAAAGAGAGAGGTCCATCATTGATGACACTGACGAGAGGCCGTGCAGCAGGACGGCCTGCTCCGCCTCCTCCGACCTGGCCGCTGCCCTGGCCGCTGGCCTTCTCCGCACACGCACTGACCTCTGGGCCGCGGACTTCCAGGAACGCCGACCGCCCAAATTGGCGATGAAAGAAGCAGAAATTAGCGATTCAGAAAGGCGAAGTGCGCAGGGCGGTGGTTTACCATGTAAATGGGAGTGGGGACTGGGCCTGCCGTGGCGTGCCATGGCGTGCCGCGCCCTGCCCTGCCTTCCAGGGAACGCATGAACGGGACGGTCGCTAGAATGGACAGCCCGACGAGCGCGCCAGTCCCCGCCTGCGTCCCCGCCCCGCCACTTCCAATGCAAAAATTGGGAAGAACAATTGCAGGACGGAGGGTTGTTGTTTTTGTCCGAATCTGCACATGTGTGCGTTTGGTCACGGCTTCAGCGCGGGTTCGGCGTCCATCTGCTGAGGACCTGGAGAGACTGGTTCCGAGTATAGTGCTTCCATTGCTCTCTCTCTCGCACCGCTGTGCGAAATGAGCCCGCCGGCGCGGGTATTCGAACCCGCGGCACTTGCGATGTGCACGCCTTATCGGCCAGCTCCATGTCCGCCCAGTGTCCGAGGCGGCCGCCCCGCGCCGCACCACGCCGTCGAGGCGGCGCTGCGTTTCGTGTTGACTCTTCGGAAGTGGGTCGGCGTTGTCGCCGAGCTTGTCAGACGTACGCACGCCGGGGGGCACCGCCGCCACGCCGTGCCACGCCGGCATTGTCGTTTCCGGACGCATCCGCCATTCACTTGCACGCCCTGCGTCTGTGTGTGTGTATGTGTGTCGGTTTGTGTTCACTCGATGAATGGGGCTCGCAGTGGCGCGCCTGGCGACATCGCTATTTGCACGGCGTGGCGCAAGCCAGCGCAAGCGACTCAGCGCCCTGCCACCCTTCTCCGCGCCAGCACACACACACACACACACACACACACACACGCACACACGCGCAAGTGTGAACTGTGACACACATCACGTGTCGGGGCGGCGCGGGGCGGCGCGGGGCGCGTGAACGTGTGGGGTATCTTAATTTTGTTTGGAGAACATGTGGCCGGCGGGGCGCGCGGGAGTCGCGACGCGAGTCGGGGTGCGTCCGAAAGACTGCCAAGCTCAAGACCGTGCGGCGTCGCCGTGAAGTGACGCCCCTACACTGCATTCGGCAGTGATTCGACCCGAGGACTCGGAACCGAGACGCCCAGTGGAAAAGGCCGAGTGCACAAATCACAGAACGGAGCAACAATTACCGAGAAGGTGACTCGGACGGCGCGCGCGTCCACCGCGCCTGCAGCAGTAGCAGTGCAGTGGCAGCGCAGCGGCAGGGACCGCGCGGGGACATTCCGCGAAGTCCACGAAGGCGCGGGGCACTCGGTGGCACTCGGAGGCAAGAACCAAGAACGAGGCGGAGAAAAAAGGCGCACCGCGAGAAGGCGATGGAGGAGGAGGAGAAGAAGAGGACGACGACGAAGGAGGTCGTGTTATTGAATAATTAAAAGTCAGCGCTGCGCTGCGCGATCGCGCCTCATCAAAAATCGAGCACGGCGTTAAAAACACTGGACGTCATTAGACAGAGCGGCGTCGCGCCACGCCGCGGCCACGCCACCGCAAGCCAGGCAAGCCCCGCGGCGAGGCGCGGCGGTCGCCTCCCAGATGACACCGTTTTGTTTTTTTGCCTTTCCCGCCTCCAAGGAAAACCATGTCACTGCTGAATCAAATTGGGTTTACGTAAGGCTGGCCGCACGACCAAGGATCCTGACGCGATGCGACGCGTTTCCGAAAGTGTGGCGGTGTAGTGTCTCGGCCGGCCCATCAGGTGATGGAGTCACGGAGACGGAGTCATGTTTTTGCAAGAGGGACTCGGGGCCGGGGCCGGGGCCGGCCAGCCAGATGTGGCGGACAAAGCCATCCACGACGAGGGCGTGGAGCCCATGTGCACCTTGCACTGGGCATTCTTAGTATGTTAGTCTCCGGAAAGCGGGGCGGGGCGGGGCGGAGTGGCCGGAACGGGACCCTTTTAGTTCCAGCCGGGGTGCGTCGCCCTGGCCGTGGCATCGCACAATGGGGCTGGACCACATGTGCACAACAGGGTGGCGATCCCGTTAGCGCGTTCGGCGTGGACCCCGTCACTCCATGTCGCTCCGTCACTGTATGACTCCACGACGGCCACCTCGATGGCGTCGCTGCGGCGTCGCTGACATCGCGAGTAAATTTATGTGTTGTTTGGCGTCGACACGGCAGGGCGGTGTGCGGCGCGCGGCAGGTGAAGGGAGTGGAGCGGCAGACACCCTGCAGGCCCTGCAGCCATGCGGGTACTACAAGTCGCTTTTCAATTTGCTCTACAGGAACAGCAGCACCCGTTTGTGTGTGTGCGTGCGTGGTGGCCCTTCCTTATTGATAGGCTGTTGGTGTCCCGAATGTTGTCACCGCGTTGTCTCGTGTTCGTCACGTGGTTGTCACTTTGTCACCCCGCGCGTGTCGTCCCGTTCCCCGTGTGCGTCGTCCCGGTCGTCCCGCCAGTCCCACCCACAGGCCGCCCAGCAGACTGAGAGTCATTTTCGTCGACCTGTCTCTCTCGCACTGATGGGAGTGTCGCATAGGTGCGAGAGAGACAGGGCGAGGAAAACGACTCTGCAGGCACACCGTCGGAACACGACACCCAGAGCGCGCGCTCCGGGGCCTCGTCCGGGTAGGGCCCCTCCGGCCTCGGGCAGTGTCCAGGACTCGCCTTCAGAATCTCCTCAGCGGCTGTCAGGGCCCTCTGTCTCTCTGTCTCCACGGACAGGGAAGATGATGTGTTTTCTTTGCGGTGAGAATGTCCCGAGGATTAGCTGCGGGTCCGGGCCCTCGGGGGGCACCTCGGCATGGAGGGGCCCCCGCCGGCCCCGCCGTGTCGCCCCCGAAGGGGGCTCGCCCCCCCCCCTGCCCCCCACCATCACAATCAGCTCCGAAATCAAACATCAACACAGAAAGTCCGTCGCGGAGGAAAAAGAAGACCCCGTAATCACTGGCCGCTTCTCCGGCAACTTTGTCGATGTTTCGGAGACGCGCAAGTCGGCCGCTTCGTTATGGAGATGCAATGCAATCACGCCGGATTGTCAATTGTCGCATCGCGAGGCGAGGCGAGGCGCCGCGGCCCGCTCAGACATTCGTTTCGACCGAAAAGTCGTTTGTTGTTGGCGGGCTGTTCCTGGCCGCTCCGTACGGCGCGGCGGACAGACGGACAGACAGACGGACAGACAGACGGGCGGGCGGGGCGGAGGGGGTAGACACGCGGACGCGACACGCATCCAAAGAATCGCTTTGCAGGAGGAAATCAAATTAATTGTGCCGATCTGGAATTTCTATAAAAGTCGCCTCGCTGTGGCTGGCTGTCTGGCTGGCTGTCTGGCTGGCTGGTTCTCTTCCTATAGCGGCTCCCCGCGGCGGGGACCCGCGCGCCTCCTGGCCTCCGCTCCGCCCCGCCGCGTCCCGTACCGTCCCGTCCCGCGGGCCGCGGACCGCGGCCGCGACCGCTTAGCGCGGAGGGCTGGATGCTGGATGGCTGGAATGATGGAAGCCGTCAGGGAAAAACAGCGAAGCGCTGCACGCTGCACTGCGAGAACGGTCAACAATTGAGTTCCAGCTTCGGTCGCGTTGCGTGCTCGTTCCCGCTCGCGGTCAAGAAGCGCGCACGCGTGGCCGACACGCGCACGCCACTGTAAAGCAGCATGGACCAGCCAGCATGCCGAATATACCGATTTCGGGCAACCCACCGCGTGAGCAGCACGCGAGCATCTGTCCCGCGTCTCGCGAGTAGTGGTGTAAGTAGTGTGCGTGCTCTCGGATCTTATCTCCACGATGCGTGCCGTGTGTGCCTTGTGCTTGTCATGTCGTACCAGAGCGGGGCGGGGCGGGGCGGGGCGGGGCGGGGCGGGGCGGCGAACGCGTGTTAATGATGGACACGACAGACGGGTACGGGACGGGATGCTACTGGTCTAGGCACCGGACTGGCTGGTACCCGGTGTATACCCGGTAAAGCGGAGGCGAGGCACGCCCAGCCACGCCGCGCCACGCCACGCACGCCGCGCCACAACGGTCAAGAGTAGCCAATTACACTGCAGGCCATATCGAACGGGATCGTCTCCTCCATCCGCGTCGTCCTGCAGACCGATTCCGAGAGTCGCTCTGTCTCTCTCGCACCCATGCGGCACACCCCATGAGTGCGAGAGAGACAGGGCGACTCTCGGAATCAGTCCACTGCCGGCCGCGCCCTTCCGCCCCGTCCTGCCCGCAGGTGTTGTCTCTGTGCGTTTGGCGTTTGACGACGACGCGGTGGCGGCGTGGCGGTGGCGGTCGCGCTGGCGCAACGCGGCTAGGCTCGGCGCACTTTGTACCCGGCCGCCGAGGGTC